ATTGGCCAGCACAGCCGCGCACCGCGGGCGAAAGCGGCGAGTTTTGTTCTAGTATTTACCCCGCGGTGTAAAGCTGGATCTCGCGCTCTCCCGGTGTCCTTAAGTCACGTTCTATTGTTCGCGTCGTTTCTCGTGGGTTGCCTCTTTCATCGTTCCGGGGGGTTCCGTAACGTTCGTTCTACGGCTTGTGCTTTCTCAATGGTGAACGGTTAGAGATCGTGCGCCATGTTCGCGCCGCGAGCAGCACGCGATTCACCGGCTACCGTGGCAAGTGATACGTTTTTTTCTGCCGTCGAGCAACGGCGAGTGGTGTGCGTTTAAATACCGTACCAGGGTACGCCGCGGTGTGTGCTTGTGTGTTTATGGTGCGCGGGTATGCCATTAAGAAGGCAAAAGTCCTAGTGGTAGTAAACGACAAGGCGAGAGCACGCTGTGGGACCGTGGAATGCGCGCTGACAGGTATCCACCGCCGCGCCGTCGCACTCGGAATTCACTATGTGGTTCTAACCTTCTTTCCCCTCTTTCTTTATCCTTGCGTTCGCTTCCCTCTCACTCGTAACGCAGCGTAAGCCTTTGCGTGTTTACGCGATCGTCCACCTCCCTCTTCAGTCTCTTCCCTTTCTATTCCTCCTTTTCTTCGTCCTTCTACCGTCCTGCTTCTTTGAATGGCCTCTCCGTCGCGCCTGCGTTTGCGTGCTGACGCTTCGGCACTTTTGACAGCTGTCACGATTCAAGTGTGCGTATACAAGCGACTCGTTTTGTTTCATCGAATGTAGGAACTTAGAGCAGGGGCAAAGGGGAGAAGAGCGACATATTGTCGTCAATTACCCTTCGTTCTTTTCTCCCCATGACGTGTCGTTGTTTTTATCGTGGCGATCTGGTGAAATATTCAACTTGGATTTATCTATCGTTTATTTGGGGGACCGATTTTATTTTTACACCGGACAACAGCCGCTGAGTTCATTTTTGATCGAAGCGGCGCATGCTGAGACGAGTCGTGACGTCACGCGGATTTAAAAATTTCCAGTAGAGTAATTTCTATAGTCTGTTCGTGACGTAAATGAGATAACACCATTACAACAATGAACTGACTGATAATATGTACATATCTTTCTTCTCTTTTTTATTAATTGTGAACGGCTCGAGCATTACTGAATTACTAAACGTATCCACAGCACAAAGCGCGTTATGTAAAGTGAAAGTCCCTACAGAAACGTGTTAAAGGTTGCGGTACATGATGTAAAATCATATGTCGTAAATTCCGGTTATGGCACGATTGGTTTCCCCTCGCGATCTTTCACCGAAGAGAAGGCAAATTTGTGACAATGTTCAGGTTGACCAGATAATTGGTGCCGCTAGGGTCGGAAGTTAGTCCCGTTAAGAGCGGCAAGAATCATTTAGATACAATGGTAATCTAATATTTGAGAAACGTGAGGAACATAGAGGCAACGCGAACAAACATGTCTTTTTTTCTTACGATTCTTTTAGCGACACACGTTTCAAGATGATTCCAAGTGAACCTATGCCCCTAGTTTTTGACTTCACATTAAATGAAGCGATGACTTCTGTCCACTCGTCCGGCGTAGTTTAAGAGGCTGCATGTGACGTGGCGAGAGCGGAATAAAATAGTTTGTATTCCTTTCTTTGAAGTTGTCCGCCAAGGACACGTGACAAATGACGTGAGAATGTCGCTCGACTAGCGACACTTGAAATTAAAACATTTGTTGAAATCTTACTTTACACTGTCGCTGTTGCACTTTTTTCGCGTCTGCTTGCTCGCTTCGACGCTTACCTTGCAATTCAACACATTAATTTACACACGGACGCTACGAAAGACATTAGACTCTTTCCGACTTCCGGTTGGCACAGTACTGGTCATCAATCATGTTTTACCAACCGGAAGGTGGAATGCGTGCCTGTCGCCGCGCGATTGTTTCTTTTTCGAACGAAAGCATGCTCGGTTACTTTCATATTTGTTATCACAAATAAACTATTTATGTGGAAATTATATAGTTTATACAGGAAGAATAAGTATTTTTTAAATATTTACACTATGAAAACTGTATACTTTCGTTCATTTGTTAAAAAAAAATATATATATATTTATTTGTATGAATTTAATTTGCCGCCATTTTCATAACAGATATAGAGGTTCACAATCGGTACTCTTCAATTTAAATACATATTCAAATATTGATGTTCACAGAATATTTTTTTGAGTATTATTGCCTTGTGTTTATTATTTCTAGAAAAGTATTCATCTGTATTTTAACGTTGTAATCTCTGGTGAATCATTAGCTAAACATTTCCAATGATGTTGAATAATGTTAAGCAGAAGTAGCTGACGATAGTAGTTCATACTACTGTGTTTACATTATCAGCACGTTCTAGGTTACTGGGATCAATTGAATATATACGATTGAGTGTATCAATGGAAAAAGTTTCTCTTAGCTGAACGTTGATAATTATATCCAATATTTGTGTTATTGATCAAATAATTACATTGTACAGTTTGGTTATAAGTTTTTACAATAACAAAATTAATTGGAAATCAATATTTCGACACGAGCTACATAAAGCCTGAACAGTATGTACAATCTACGTTTTTGAAAATATTTGGTAAATTAATAGAAATTATGTGCACCATTCACTGTACTGCATGTATGAAACTTGCATTTAATGAGAAAATGAATGCATTATCAACAAACTTTCATCTGGAATCTTCGCGAAATTATCAAAAGTGATGATCAATTCGTAGATCTGCTATTATAGGATTTACGAGGAAAGGAACTGTACTTTCTCACCAGGATACGGCAGAACATTTCTCCTATCTTGAACAGTCCAAAGTGCAATTGAATGTACATAGCGGCACTAAACATACCATGCAAATATAAATCTCCTATCAATCGGTCGCAACATATCGAACCCGGAAACGTGAGAGAAGAATTTTAAATGCATATAACGCGATCCACATTGAATTAGAACACCGAATCATGTGATCGAAGACACGCGGCCATTATATAAGGGGGATGACGCAGAAACAGCGTTAATTTAAAGAAAACATTCAGATCTTCTTCTATGATCGTCCTCGATGCCTCCTATCAGCATTCTGGATTAAGTCCCGTTTGACCGCTGCGCGCGCTTCGTGAAACCTTGATCGTGTATCAAAACATTAAATTGTTGTCTACGAAACGGTATAGTCTATTAACCAATACTTCGTGTTGCAATAAATGGTAAATGAATTTTATTAGTCTAAGAAATTCATAAAAGCTCTAAACAAATTTTATGCACTTTATTCATTAAGCTTCAAACGTATTTCTAATAATTTTATAAGAACTTAAATTTTTCAAAGTAATTCAGTTATTATAATTTAGCACTGGATCCTTCGAAAATATATTTAATTTTAGTTTTTTTTTTGTTAAATGATA